AGAAAAAAATTATGAAACATTCGTTTCGTGCTAGCTTATCTTTTTTTTTTTTAATTTCTACCCATATAAAGTTGAGGGCTGTGGGTAGATAGTGATTGAGATAATCGTCTAAGAAAATTATATGACAATTTTTCTAACTTTCGTGAAAACAGAACTGAATTATTAGCAATTCCCTGTTTTTGGAATGATATATGCAGACCTGCGGTTGATGGGTTCTTTCAAGTTAAGCTCACTTTTGTGGACAGTCATGATTATCGTTATTGCATCTGCTAAGAAGAAGCTGTTTTTCTGGATTGTTATTTTCATGCAGTGTAGTTTTCAGTACTTCTGAAGGGTTCTTTCCAAGAGAATCCAATGCATCTTATCAGGGCATATAAAATTTTTTACTACACTATCAAGTTTTTATATATCTGTCCTACGAAATTAGGAAACCTTGGAAACTTCTGATTCCACTAAATCATTACACAGAAGTTGGAGTTTGGAGTCTGGAATGGAAAACATGTTTATCTGTGAAGTCATCGGAAGAAACATTGAATGAGTCCTCATGGAAAGGATGATCAAGTCCATCCTGGATAATTGACTCAAATTTATTTTATAGGTCTTAAGAATACTCGATTCAGGATCTACTTTCAATCGTAGAACAACGTATGGGACTGCCATTATTTGTTTAGCATTAGCAATTTTGGTAGAATTTATTACTGTGCCAAGCGAACAAGCCCAGATGCTATTTCAAGTATAATAAGTTTGGGAGCCAGACAGTGAAAGATAAAGACGTTGCAATTGAAGTAGTATTGGAAAATGCTATGCTGAACTCATGCATTGCTAAGAGGCTTAAACTTTGTTCATTCACATCATTGATATTTTACTGATTCCACTTGTTTCTCTCTAATCATGACTTATAGTGATGTGAAGCTTTGAAAGAAAGGAAAAGCGAGAGAGAGAGAGAGAGAGAGAGAGAGAGAGAGAGATTAGGGCTGTATTATATGCTAAGGTGACCCTTTCTCTTGTTTGTTATTACTTTCAAATGAAGGTGGAGTGGTAGACAAGGGAATTGTTAGGATAGATTATTCTTCACTTATGGTGAAAGCTTGACAAATTTTGTCTCCTTGCAAATGCCTTAGGCCGTGCAAAGTTTAAAAAGGCAAAATCGGAAACCAAGGCATTTAGCTTTAGCGAGGCGTAAGCTTTAAGGCGGATCAAGCCGTAAGCCTTAAGAAAAAAACTCATAAAGTTAAAGATAATTAAAAAAAATGGAAAACCATTACTATTTTGATTTGATTTTGTTGAAATTCAGAATAATGCACTATATTTTTATTGATATGAAAATGAGTATAAATAACCCTTGCATGAAGCTTCGAATATGAAAGACAATAAAAAAGAAATAACCGGAATGAAAGATTTAATACCTAATATCTTCAATCAATCATTTCATATTAATTATTTAGAGATAAAAGAAACAACATAAAATAGGAAAGCCTAAAATAAGAAAGCAAATCAATTCAATTTATGAAAATAAACCTAAAATAGGAAATAAAATAAAGTTATATTAGAAAATAAATCTAATCCACGTAACTTCTAACATGAATAACTATTTTCTAATAAAATTTCCAACACTCCCCATCAAGTTTAAACGTGGTTGAAAATCATGTTCAATATTGATTTAAAAACTTTAAACAATCAACAAGGGAGATCTTGTGAAGTAGAACTCGAAGTCTTCATTTGTAGGTAGGCGGAAGAATTCTACAGGTAATGCTGTAGGGGAACTTGCAGGGATGTAGACAACCTGCAGGAAATACTGACTTCTAGTTGATTGCGGTTATTTTTTACTGTAGTTCGTGCAGTATCTAAAGGTAGGCAAAAAACCCCTATAGGTAAGGCTACAAAGGAGTTTGTAGCGAAGTAGATAAAATGCTGGAAAAACTGACTTCTATTTGACTGCGGTTATCTTTGACTGTAGTTCCTGCAGTATCTATAGGTAGGCGGAATGCTTCTACAAGTAATGTTGTATGAGAGTTTGCAGGAAATAAACAACCTCGAGAAAAAGCTTCAGGGCATGACCTGCAAAAAAAAAAAAAAGAAAAAAAAGGAAAAAATCTCTGGAGGAGGGCTTGCTGCAAGAAAAAGGCTCCGAAGGAAGGCCTATCACGGGAAAAATTCTGGAAGGCTTGCTGTAGAAAAAGCTCTGAAGGAAGGTCTGCTGCAGAGAAAAGCTCTGAACGAGGGTCTACTATCAGGAAAGGCTCTAGAGGAGGGACTTCCGCAAGGAAAAACTCCAGAGAAGGGTCTGTAGCAGGGAAAAATTTTGGAAGAGGAGTTGTTGCAGCAAAATCTCCGGAGGATAGTCTACTGCAGAAAACATTACAGAATAGGGCCTGTTGCAGGGAAATGCTCCGAAGGAGGCCTTGATGCAGGAAAAACTCTGGAGGAGGGTTTGCTGCAGGAAAAAACTCCAGAAGAAAGTCTGCTGCAGGAAAACGTTCCGGAGGAGGCCTGCTGCAGGAAATGTTTCGGAGGCCTACTGCAGGAGAAGCTTCGGAGGAGGGCCTGTTGCAAGAAAGCTCTGGAGGAAGGCCCGCTGTAGTAAAAAGCTCCAGAGGAAGGCCGCTGCTTGACTCGCCTTCCATTGGCATTGTTGCCATCGAGTGATTGAGATATATATATTCGTGAGTAATGGAGCAGTGTTCTCCACTCCGAGCAACATACTCCAAAAGCCTTGTTAGGATTGATGGAAAACTAGTTTTCAAATACTCGTAGACTCCCGTTTGCATAAAAGCTTTCAAATTCTTGGGCAATACAACAAATTTGAGACATATAGAATTAAGTTATTGAAAGTGATGCTGATTAGCTAAGGCCAAGGTAGTTGCAACTGTGTTTATAGCAACATCTTCACAATGCTCAACCTCTGAGAGCAAGCGAAGCCTTTCCAAAGCATATCGATCAGCAGTTGCAAGTAGATGCTGTGCTATCAATGTGGAAACACATTTTGCACTAAGACCAGTAAGCTCCTCCAAGTCAGACAAGGTATCCCAATAAATGAAATGGAGTGATGCCTTGAAAACTGGTGCTTCCATTTCATCCACTTTTATACAATCTTTGTCTCTCCTTCATTGGGCCATAAAATTGGGCCATGAACACGGGCGAGCTTGCTAAAAAAACCAGTTATGTACAGTAAAAATCTCTCCATTAACATCAAATTTGACGTCAGTACCTTCCACTCTCTCCAAAAGTTGACCGAAATGCTCTTTTATATTGGATGGTGGGACAAGAATATCATAGGTCCCTCAGTATGTGACTTGACTGCACCAACACTACATCTAACTGAGAGGCAATAATCTTTAAGATAATATAATTCCTCTAAAGCAGTTCTTTTGAAAAATTGTTTATAGCCCCACATGCTCTCATGGTACTTGAGGGTATAGGGTTTATGAACCTTGCGCAGCTCCTTCCCACTATGATCGAGCAGTGCCAGCTTGAACAGTGCCCTCAGGTCAGTTCCCTCGCTCGCCAACGCTATGAATAATGACACGTAAGACACCCCATCCTCAGGGCTCTTACCGCTGGGGTAGAAGTAGATCGCCCATGAGTAGCCCCCAACCATTAACATATCTTGAAATTTTGCGACTCGTTCAACTTCTGCGTCATGAAAATCGATGAAGTCTCTGACGGAGGTTGCACTGCAGAAGTTATGGAGGATGATGGCCCGTTGGAAGAGCTGTCTCTGCAAATCCTACCAGCTCCACGTCGCCGTTGCAAAAATTAAAGGTGGCAATGATTAGAGTTCCTTCAGGTGCGGCCAGCAGGATATATTGTCCGATTTCAGGAGTTGGACTTAACAGGATGAACGAATAAATGATGACGCTGTTGAGTTTGACGGAAGATAATATGGGTTCAACTTGGAGTTCGAATCCGGTCGTCGTCGCAAAATCTGTAATCGACCTCGTACTCCCAAGGGGATTCAAACTCGACAGAAGGAGATTGGGCAACAAGATTAACTACAGTCGATAAAATTTCTTAGTTAGGGCCTACAGCACGACAAGGATTGCCGGTTGCAGGGAATAGGAAGTTTTTGGAGGGAGGACCGACGACTAGTGTAGGGACTTTGACTCTAATATCATGTGAAATTCAGAATAATGAATATTTTTATTTATATGAAAGAGGTATTGGGATCGGTCGTGAATTAAATTGAGTTGTTGGGATTGGTCGTGAATTAAATTGAGTTGTTGGGATCAAGCTTGAGTTACCTTGACACCGTACAATTGTTTGAAATTACTTTTATTGTATTACCAATACAAGGAACAATTGCGAGGCTAATATTCCTAAGAATTATGCATACAAATGCATTTTGACCAAATGATGTGATGAAAACAAGGAGTTGAGATAAAGCAAAATCAATCAATTTATTTAATTTTTGTCGTCTATCTTCAGGTTTTGCTCAAAAGAAGGCAATGTCTGCACCCGTAGCCTTTTTATATCCAATCCAATTGTTTGCCATGATTCAAAAATCATGTAAGCGAGTAAGCGAGGAGAGAAATTAAGTGCCGTCACCTCCAATTAAATAAGGGTAGCCGTCACCTCCAAGTGCCAAGTCGGCCTGCTGCCTGAGAAGAATCCAACCCCTGGGTGGGCCCTCAAGCTAACAATCATGTAAGCGAGGAGAGAAATTAAGGGAGATTTAAGGGAAAAGTTTGAAATGTGTTTGGGAGGAAAGTTTGAATGACTTCTGGGGGTGTTTTATTTGGACTGGTTACTTAGGGATTGGGTTATGTTTTGATTCCTACAGTTTTTTC